CGCGTCGCCAGCAAAAGCAACACCGAAGCAGCAACCTCACAAAGATATCCCCAAACAAGATTATCAGGAACCTCGACAACACCTCGACAATAACTATCGAGGTGACAATCGCCGAGGAGCGACGTACAACATCAGCACTCAACAGCAGCAAAATCGCCCGTACCAAAACCAATCAAACACCTGGCAGCGAGGAGATCGTGGAGAGACACGACCCTTCTGCGACTATCACAACAAGTATGGTCACCCGACTGCGATGTGTCGCGAACTACAGGCCTATTTGCTTGCAAAATACCGCAAGGGGGAGATCGCATTAGCAAACCAGCCCCAAAACACCACGCCGCAAAACAGCGGGGCTCGACCAACGGCTTCCGCCGAACAGCTTCCAACTCCTCCTCCAACAAACGATCAATCCAACGACGACGTCGCGAAGAGAGACCGTGGAAACCAACCTCGATGTGACACTCCTCTGGCATCTCGAAAGAAGGTGTTTTTTTATCATGGGAGGCTTATCGATGTGCAACGATTCCGTCAGGTCGATAAAAAAGTACGGCCGCCAGGTCATGCTCGCACAAAAATGGCAAGTTAAAATATCCTCGAGGTCTACTCGATCGAAACGACACAGTCTACTCGATCGGAACGATCAGGCTTCCAGTCTACGCGGCAAAGACGACTCGCCTCGTCAAATTCGTCGTCGTCGACAAACCCGCCATCTATAACGTAATTTTGGGAACGCCCTGGCTGTAATCCATGAAAGCGGTACCATCGACCTATCATCAATGCCTCAAATTCCCAACCACCTTCGGGGTAAAAACCATTCGAGGTTCTCAGGGGATATCGAGACTCTGCTTCGCCGCAGAGCACAAGCTCCGATCCAAATCCGCGATTCCAGCCAAGGCGTGTCTTACAATTCTACCCGTAACTCAAGTCGATTTGCCAACTCGAGAAAGACCGAAGCAGGAGCTCGTCGTCCAAGTCAACATCGACGAAAGCGACCCCGAACGATGCGTAGGGATCGGAGCCGATCTAAAGGAGGAGATCAAGGTTGAGCTCGTACGACTTCTTCGCCGAAATGCAACGACATTCGCCTGGTCAGTAAGCGATATGCCCGGGATCGATCCCTCAAGCACAAGTCATGAGCTTAACATTGATCCTACGTTTAAACCGATCAAGCAGAAGCGGAGGAAGTTAGGTCCAGAAAAGGCACAAGCTGTCAATGATGAGGTCGAACGCTTGTCAAAGGCTGGATCGATCATCGAGGTCAAATATCCAGAATGGCTGGCAAACCCCGTTGTCGTCAAAAAGAAAAACGGCAAATGGCGAATCTGCGTAGACTTCACCGACCTCAATAAAGTATGCCCCAAGGATAGTTTCCCCTTGCCACCCATCGATAGAATCGTCGAGGCAACGGCAGGCAATGAGCTCCTATCATTCATGGACGCCTTCTCCAGGTACAATCAGATCACGATGCACCCCGAAGATCGTGAGAAGACATCCTTCATCACCGATCGAGGAACCTATTGCTATAAGGTAATGCCGTTCGGATTAAAAAACGCGGGCGCAACATACCAACGACTAGTCAACCACATGTTCGCCGATCAATTGGGACGAACGATGGAGGTTTACATCGACGATATGCTAGTAAAGTCGCTCACTGCCGGTGATCACATCGGCCATCTGCAAGCTTGCTTCACCGTTCTAAATCAATACCAGATGAAGCTCAATCCAACTAAGTGCACCTTCGGGGTAACTTCCGGAGAATTCCTAGGCTACATCGTCACAAAACGAGGAATCGAGGCAAATCCGAAGCAGATTGATGCCCTAATCAATCTCCCATCACCTCGCAACACTCGTGAAGTCCAACGTCTTACCGGCCGAATTGCGGCACTCAACCGATTCATCTCGCGATCCACAGATAAGTGTCTTCCGTTCTATCAACTTCTCCGAGGCAACAAACGTTTCGAGTGGGACGGTAAATGTGAGGAGGCCTTCCAACAGCTCAAGGGATACCTCGCCAGCCCTCCAATTTTAGCCAAACCTGAAACAGGCAAAACCCTCTACCTCTATATCGCTGTATCGAGCTCGGCAGTAAGCGGCGTTTTAGTCAAAGAAGACCGAGGCGAGCAGAAACCGATTTTCTACGTTAGTAAAACTCTGGACGACGCAGAAAAACGATATCCGACTTTGGAGAAACTCGCACTCGCGGTCATCATGTCTGCCAGAAAGTTACGACCCTACTTTCAATCCCATTCGATCATCGTCTTGACCAATCAACCACTTCGAACCATACTGCACAGCCCGAGCCAGTCAGCCCAGAGCTAATCCAGACCGACCTACCTGACGAGAAGTGGTCCTTATACGTCGATGGATCCTCCTTGTCCCGAGGCGCAGGTATCGGCATCCGCCTAGAATCTCCGACGAAAGAGATATTGGAGCAATCGTTCCGGCTCGAATTTCCAGCCTCCAATAATGAAGCGGAGTACGAGGCTTTACTCGCAGAACTACGTCTAGCGCAAGGAATCGGGGTCACAAAAATCGAAGCTTTCTGCGACTCCCAGCTCGTTGCTAGTCAGTATAGCGGCGATTACGACACCAGAAACGACCGAATGGATTTGTATCTTAAAGCCGTCAAAAACCTCGCTGATCGCTTTGAACTTTTCTCACTCACCAGAATTCCGAGGAGTGACAACACCTCAGCAGATGCACTAGCCGCCCTCGCATCGACGTCTGAAACACATCAAAAGCGCGTAATCTCGGTAGAAAGCATCGATTCCCCTAGCATTGTCTTACCTCGAGGAGTATGCGCGGTTCGAGAACTCGAAGCGAACAGATTGGACGCCGTCGAGTTACCTCCCCCCGAGGTCATCGATGAACCTGCCGAACAAGAGCCAGCAACCGAAGATTGGAGGATCGAAATCTTGCTCTACATTACAGACGGCCAAGTTCCACCCGATCGATGGGCAGCGAGGCGCTTAAAAAATCGAAGCGCTAAATACATTCAGTCACACGGCAACCTCTATCGTTGGAGCTCGACGGGCGCCCTGCTCAATTGTCTTCACGGCGAAGAGACACTTGATGTCATGCGGGAAACACATGAAGGGGCGTGTGGAAATCACTCCAACGGTCGAGCTCTCGCTCTAAAAATCAAGAACCACGGTCACTTTTGGCCAACAATGCTTACCGATTGCGATCGATTCGTAGCTCGCTGCAAGCAATGCCAACGACATGCGCCAATGATCCACGCACCAGCCGAGCTTTTGGCTGCTTCCTCGCCACCTTATCCCTTCATGCGATGGGCGATGGACATCGTCGGTCCACTACCTCGATCCCGACAAAAACGATTCATACTTATCATCACTGATTGCTTTACGAAGTGGGTCGAGGCCGAGTCCTACACCAAAATCAAAGCAACCGATGTGAAGAACTTCGTCTGGAAAAATATCGTATGCCGTCACGGATTGCCCTACGAGATCGTCACCGATAATGGTTCCCAGTTCGTCTCCGATGTATTCGAGGACTTCTGTGCCAAATGGAAAATACGACTTAGCAAGTCAACACCACGATACCCACAGGGAAACGGACAGGCAGAAGCGACCAACAAAACCATCCTCGACGGCATCAAAAAAAGACTCGAAGATAAGAAGGGCTTATGGGCGGATGAGCTGGACGGAATCCTATGGTCACATCGAACTACACTGCGCAGATCGACGAATAAAACCCCTTTCTTGTTGTCTCACGGCATGGAAGCCTTAGCCCCCGCCGAGGTCGGTCTACCAACCATACGCAGAACGATGTTGACACAAGATGGTAAGAAGAACGGAAGAATGATGAAGGATAGCCTCGACATGCTCGAGGAGGAGCGAGATCACGCCCTGTTACGTATGCAAAATTATCAGCAGCAAATCTCACGATACTACAACAAACGCGTGAAAGGAAGGCACTTCGAAGCCGGCGACCTCGTCCTTCGAAAGGTGTTCGAGAATAAAATACCGCGCCGGAAAACTGGGCGCAAAGTGGGAAGGCCCCTACCAAATCACTAACGTTGTTAAACCTGGTGTTTACGAGCTGACGACGATGGACGGCGAGATGATACCTCGATCTTGGAACTCGATGAACATCAAGCGGTACTACTACTAAAAAAAAAAAAAAAAAAAAAAAAAGGACGCTCGCCGAGCTATACCCGGTTGAGCTATGTCTCGAATGTGAACTACGATCGGCTTGATCCCAGTTTGTTGGGTACGTAGGCAACCTCTCACGAGGTACAGCTATTAATAAAATTTTATTTATACTTCACTTCGACATCTTTTCACTTCGACATCTTTCACATCGACATCCTAGCTAGATGTCCGATCCCCTAATACGCATTTCCCTACAATGCAAACTCTTAATCATTCCTAATGAACAAAAACCTTACGATTGTGAGAGAATAAGCCGGGACCAGTCCCGCATCCTTTCTTAAATCAGCCGAATAACTACGTCGAGATCATTCTCACTATTCGGACACGATTAATGAAATAAAACAGGGTAAGCCGAGTCATACTTCGCGCCTATTCTTCCCTTAAGCCGAGTTTCACCTCGCACCTATTTTTCCCTCAAGCCGAGTTTTATCTCGCACCTATTATTTCACTCATACCTGTTATTTTACTAAATTTTTATCCCGCATCTCGTACCTCGCATCCATTATTTTCGTAGGTCAAGTCTCGCGCCTATCGTTCGAGAGTTTTTCCAATAAGTAAGTTCTCACTTCGTTCCAACCTTGTTGAACCAATTTTCACCTCGTATCAAGCATTTCATCTCGAATCTATTGTCGTCTTAATTACGAGCTGAAACTAAGAATACCCCCGTTAATCGCTCTACTTTGCTTAAATACACCTTTATTATCTTCTTAAAAAAGCATTCATTGATGAAATTGATTCGAGTCATTACATTCGATGCAACATAACAAAATAATAATAAGTAAAAAGAAAAAAGGTGATAGCATATAAGGGACAGACAGGTGAGATCTACTCGTCAGGCTGATTGCCACCCTCGTGGTCCTCTTCATCCTCGCGATGCTCCTGATCTTCAGCTTCGTCATGATTTGAACCACCATCTGGAGTCTTGGGATATTGCGGGGGCATGTGTGC